GGGCCTGGGCGAACGCCGACGCGAACTTTCAGCGCACCTCTCAATAGTTCCCTCGATCCTGCTGGGGGGGTTCACGACCAGGCAGGCCCCTATCGGGGTCCATGGCAAAGGCCGCCGACCAGCGGGGGGGGCCGAGCGGCGGCCGCGGGGGCCGAGCAGCGCGGGCGCGGGGACGGGGCCCCTTGCGCCAGGCGCCCCCTTGAGCCAGGGTTTCAGCCAGGCTACGGAACACACACACACACACAGACACAGACACACACAGACTCTCTCACTCCCACACACACACATTCACACTCACTCACACTCAGTCACACTCACACAAACACAAACACACTCTCTCTCTCTCACGCACGCACGCACGCACGCACGCACGCACGCACGCACGCACGCACGCACGCACGCACACACACACACACACACACACACACACACACAACACACAACACACACACACACACACACACGCACACAACACACACACACACACACACACACGCGCGCGCGCACACACCCGCACACACACACACACACACACACACACACACACACACACACACACACACACACCGCTCCGCACTCCGCATGCCCCTCCTCGTCCCCGTTCCTCTTCCTCCCTCTCCCCCGACTTCCTCTTCCTTCGCCCTCTCCTCATCCCCCTCCCTCCGACTCCTCCTCATCCTCGTCCTACGCTTCGAACGTTGGCCTTGCCTCTGGATGCACAGACTCCTTCCGCCCGACAGAGACAGCCTTCCCCCCACCCCCCTCCCGATGCCATGCCCTGCATCCGCATTGGTCACGCTGCCCGACTCATACACGCTTGATGGCACCGTTCACCCGGGGATCTATTGACCTGGGTCGATCAAAACCCGGGCCGATCGGGCCTTTCAGGATCCTGCAAGACCTGCAAGATCCTGCAAAATCCTACACCCAAACCTGGGTCAATGCAACCCTGGCGCTGAAGGATCTGGTGAGATTCGGCGCTCTGACCGACACCCGTTTGCACTGACCCCCGTCTCGCGGCTCCCGATTCACCCGCCGATGTCACTGGCCAGTTGCTCTGGAACGCTTGGTGGACTGAGGCTACTAGCTTTAGAACTTAAGCGGGCAAATCCGCCACCGTGCCCGAAAGCACGAATTATAGTGTCTTCAGGTGAAGGCTGCACAGGATGCAGGCGTGCCGGGCCAAAGCCCAGCCTTGCCTCCGCCAGCGCGCCTGCCGGCGACGCGTAGCCCTAAATCTCTTAAGTAAGCCAAAGGGGGCCGCCGCGGCACGGCGAGGGGCTGGCGAGCGTCCTCAGGTCCCCATGGAGTTCTCCGTCATACATCGTGAGCGAATGAGTCTGTACAGTGGAGGCCAGTCCACCAGAAACCGTCCACAAGAAACCCAACCCTGAGACCCTAGGACGTCCATTGGTTTTTGGTTTGGGAACGCCACGATTTCCATTGAAGAGCCATCGAAATCCAAGAAACTCATGGCACCCTGGAGGCAAGCAGGGCGTTTGTTGGAATGGGTCTCCACTGGAAGGGCCTGGACCCAAAAATCCCGAGATTAGCCTGGGCATGGCCCGTGATTCCTGCGGTCTGGAGCGC